CCAATGTTGCCCTAATTACTTGGATCTGGTATCTGTCTGTAATTGTATATCCAGTGTTTAGCTCTCTAAAGGATTATAGAGTAGAAAGCGAAATTGTGAAGTGCATCCGCTGGCTATTTTGAATTGTATAGCAGAACTGGAATCTATACTAAATGCCTGCAATTAAGTTCGATCATTGAAATCTTTTAATAATGTAAAACATATGCTTGTTTAGGAATGAGAATGGCAGTTGGTGTTCCTTTGCAAGGTTGATCAGTTCAAAAGAGTAAAAGAGAAAAAGGAATGAGATTCTCAATTCAAAACATTAGCAGCTACCTGCGATATTGGTGATTAGAAGATAAAGATAACATTTTAACAGCTATCTGCAATAAGGCTTATTATATTCTAACCACAGAAATAAAGATATATAAACAATCACTTAGTATCAAACATAGTGTTGTAGTGTTTTAAAGATTAGAGACTGGCTAGTGTTTTATTAAGAATACATCATAAATCTTGTATTGTAATTTATAATGTATTTTGTATTTGAACAATCTGATCTTATTCATATTTGATATTTTTGAACTTTGTATTTGTATATTTTTGAATTCATCGCTTCATCGACCCCACTCAAAGGAAATTTTGGCTCCGTCCCTGATTGTTCTCTTCTTCCAGCTAAATGGCTGTAGATATGTACTCAGAGCGGCCACTCTTTGGTGGCGCCATCGCTTCTACGTTCCCTGTCCGCTTTCAGGTCTGCGCCTACCCGTCATTAATTTCACCTGCTTGCCTTTAAATTTTGTTCAAGTATTGATATTTAAAAGCTGTAATTTGTTTATACTTCAATTCGAATTTCAGGACGTCAGTAATGTGCGCCAAGTTCCCGATCATCAGGTCTGTTGGTTTTAAATTTAAAGCACCGGTTAATTGTTAGTGTTTCTATACTGATTTTGGATTGTTACTGTGATATGATGTGAATTTTGGTTGTCCTGAATGATAGGAGGTGTTTGTGGACCCTGCGCGGGATGAGAGTTTGATTTTCGAGCTCCTCGAATTGAAACAGGATGTGGCGGATAACGGAAGTGCCACCTGGTTTCTTCAGGACCTTGCGAATGAGCAAGACGCCGAGGGCACCATGGTAATCGAGCAGTCAGGAGTGGTTGAGGCTCCTGGGCTATCCTTCCGGACCTTGCCTGCCATCATTACTACTGCTGTTGGTCAAATGGTATGTATTTCTTATTTGCATGTAAGGAAAATGGGGAAAGGATGCAAAGATTTCAAATTGTGTATGCAACAATATTCATTCTCAGGCTATATCGAAGGGAAGACAAGGGAGGGAGGCACAAAACTTGGTCAAGGTCTATTTGGCAAATGTGCGTCTCCAGGAAGTGACTACCGATATTCTGATCACTGCATATGAGCCTATTGTGATAAAGTAAGGAAGTTCCCTTTACTGCCTGGTTACTTTCTTCATCTGCAACCTGGGTTTAATCTCTTGAAAACTAAAGAGTTAGGTTTATCTAGAAGGTTGTGTCTGTTTATGAATAGGTGTCAGTTATGGGTAGTTACTTACAGTTATGTATTTGTGTATATATATGTACTGTGTTTCTGTATTAGAAACAGAGAGAATACTAATATAATTTCAGTCTTATATTTATTTCCTAGTCCTTGATTCTTCATATTGCTTCCGCCTAACTGGCGGGTGGTATTATTCTCCACCCGCCAAGCCATTCCATCTTCCAAATTCAACATAATCTATCCCTTTGTAGATGTCCTGCTTGCAAATGTTTGTATTGACTTGCTCTAATCTTTTGGATTGTAGCTCGTTGAGCGAAAGTGCAAGCGCAGTCAGAGCTGGTGTAGCTGTTCCTGCTGCGCAAGCTGGATGTATGCCAATGGCTGAGGTTTTTAAACTTGCTGTTTCCACCTTCAAAGTGAACGATTGGAGACTTTTTGGTGCTGATCGAGGTTGAATGCTCTGAAGATTCATTTCCCGTGGTGAGGTCTTGCATCTTTCATAAAACCAATGTTGTAGAGTTTTTTTTTTTTTTTTTTTTTTTTTTTTTTTTTTGCAAGGGCTCAAATATTGGGTCTAGTTCTATCAAATATTAAGCTTTACATTTTCAACATTCTTTTTCTCCCTCAAGCTTTTTGATCAAATATATACTTCCATTACCTGCATAGACAGAAACTAATTGCGACAGATTGAATTCTATGCTTTACCCCCATATATATATATCCACTGGGACATCATTTTCATGAAAACTCCAAAGGGCAATATGAAAGCTGCCGAGAAAATTATTGATGTGAAATTTCACGAGAGACCCACTGGGTATGTGTGATCTGAAATAGGAAGATGAAAAGCACTTGTGATAGTGTAATCTGTCAAATAATTCAGATGACAGCGGTTTTGTCCCGGTCTTTTTTAGCCAGTTTTGCTTTACAATTTGAAGCACTGCAGCTGCAGGTGGGATGTGCATTTGTGATAAAAGTGGATTTTCCGGCCGCTGCTCGCCGTGCAACGCCATTTGTGAGTTATTGATTTGTTGAAATTAAGTTGGGGTTTGTGATGGGTGAAAGCTGAATATGAGTGCAAAAGATGAATAATTGTGAGTGAGCTAATGAACTGAGACTGTGAAGGTAGTGAAGTTTAAATTCATGGGGTGTTTGGTAGGATGGAATTGCAATTCCATTCTTACCGAACTCTATGAAATTGCAATTCCACGGAATTACAATTCATTCCAACCATGGAATTGCAATTCCACGGAGTTGGAACAGCTCGCTTAGTTATGGGAAAGAAGGGTACTATCAGGTTAAGTCACTTTCAGATACTCATTAAAGAATTTTTGGTTGCTGAGGTGAGTGAATTCTGAATTGACTTGTCAATGAGGCTACAACCACCTCAATGGCAGCTTCACTCCTATAGTTGTAAATTTTGAGGAGTTTTTGCAGGTGTGACAAGAAAGGATGAGAACGAAAGAGAAAAAGAAAAAAAAAACGCAAAACAAATCTGAAATCTGAAATAATAATAATAATAAAAGCTTCATTAACGTGCCTGGTTGGGCGCTGTGGTGCACTTCACGCCAACCAAGCGAGAAGCTTGTTTTTCCTTGGCGGGATTCACAATTTTATTCTGTCTTTCTATTTGTCATAACTAATTTCTCAACCTATTGAAGCATAGTCAATACCTTCTCCATTTAGGTTCGAATTTACCACCTCCCATTGGGAGACCAACCTGGTGCCATTAGATCTGTTAGATGAAAGAGAGAGAAAATATGTGAAATGTAGATAGAGTAATAATTCGAAAATTGAATCTATAATATGGGTATAATTAAAACACTAAAATTTTCATTTTTCTAGTTTTTTTTTAATAGTAAATAATGGATAAAAATAAGTATATTATTTAATTTATGGATGGATTTGAGAGGTGAAAATGATATTATTTAAACTTAAAAAATAATAATAATCTCGCAATGACGTATTTGGATAGTTTGAGCGCAGACAGGCAAAACAGCCGACTTTAGCTGACTTTTGAGACTGTTAGTGCGGTGAAATTGACAAAAAGTTGAATTAGTTTGGCTTGAATTAGTTGAATTAAGTGTTAATCCAACGTGTGCTTTGCATTGTAGCAAAGCCAAAGAACTATTTGTTATATATACTATGTGGACATGTTTCATGATGAAAAACAACCCATTATTGTTTGCAATATGAGTGAGTAGAATTTGAGAATACAATGCATGTAGTAGGACTCTTTATTATAGGTTTGGTCGGGTTCTAACCTATGCGTCAAGCAAAGAATATATCTTCTATGTTCGCACGGGCTAAACTCATTGGTTCAGTAGACAGTATTAGGGAGAAGAGACCAAGATTCGAACTTCGGCAGCCGTAGTGTGGAAATTATGCCCAAAGTTAGCAGATCCTTTAAAAATTGACTAATGACTCGCTATCACAGGTCACTAGGGTTCCGGTCAATATTACGGCCGACTCTGATGATATTTCCGGTAATAAAGTGACCGAGAATTGTAGAACGACCGCCAGTAAATCAATGGAGGGTTGCCTGCTCCCTGAGGAAGACGACCATCTGGGTTGTCTTCTCATCGGACAAGACGACCCAATGATCGCCTTCTCAGTGAGAAGGCAGCCCACGGGTTACCTTCTCCTTCGTTGATTCACTGGTGACTAATGTTCCAAGTGTAGTAGTCATAGAGGTGATGAGTGTAAAAGAATTCAATTGAAAATGGGTTCAGTTGTAGTAGTCACGATCCCGAGTTACCTTCTCCTTCGTTGAACTGTTTTTTCGAACAGAAATTAGCCAATCAAAATTTGTATATTTAATAATTGATAGTATATTACAAGAATTGTATTCCAAATTAAATAAAAATAAAATATCACCCTATATATGTACAATGAATAATTTATTAGGTGCATTATATTATGCAAATTATTGTAGATGTGCTTCGATATAATTCATCAAGTTGATAAACAAAGGAAATTTGATAAATATCTTTGGAGACAAATGCATGATGCGACGTGGGCGAATACAAACAACACTGATTTTCGGGAAATTGAACGTTGCTTATCCCATGATATATCTAAGATTAGATTTGTCAAATAATTGAGAAATGATTGTTCATTCTCAACTATTTTATGTCAATATTAATTAAACCACATTAATTACCAAACAGTTGGCAACCACTTTCACACTACAAGTCAAACCCCCTTTGAAAAGTAGCATTCATCTTCAATTTTCTATACGTACACATATACATATACATATACACGTTCATATTCCGTTTAGTTCGCGAAAAATATTTGCGAATAAAATTAAATTAAATTTTATATAAAAAAGGCAGAAGTGTTAAATAGGTCCATCTACTACTGTCAAGTGTTTAATTTTTACTACAAGTCAGTACTCGAGGTTGTGTACTAGGTAAACCAGCCTAGGTTATCTATATCTGACTGACTCAAATTAAGAAGGCTAAGATTTAAACCCGTGACCAGTTTATGGTTACGAGTTTGTATGCTTATCCATCTTGACTGGGTATCCATAAAGAAGTTTGGTGTCTTAATTGAATTGATTGTGAGGTTTAATTGTACGTTGAACATGATTAGAATGGTATTCACATAAGTTGAAAGCCACAACATGATGCGTCATATATAATTATATTTCTCATTGTCTCTTTCATACTTAACACGTACTACTTCTTCCCCCATTTCATACTTAAAACACTGATTTGACTATAAATCAATTATTTTTAAAACTCTAGTCATTTCATCTTCTTTCTCATTTTATAGGTCATCATAAATCACAATCAATATACATACATTGCATTTATCATATCCTAGCTGTATTCCCAAACTAGAAATTCTATCATATCCGGCCACCAAAAAAGAAGTTTATCTGTCATGAATTCAATTCTTGCTAAGTGATCGCGAGTTAGCGATTAAGGCAACATTGAATGTGTAAGTACACACACACTATTTTATATTTTGAGAATTATTAATCATTATTGTTTATAAATTATTTATGATTGTATATTATAGGGCATTTCGATCGGTTGAAACTTTAGGAGGGAGAAGACCTAAAAACAACGTTGATTGGGTTCACATTGAGGTATATATATCTTTCATATTTCATATTCATATTTTTATTGTTTAACACATTAATATATATACATATTTTCTAGTGTCCTCAACAACCGGGTGGTGTGGAGTGCGGGTATTATGTGATGAGATTCATGTATGAAATATGCACTCAATGTTGGGATTCGGATGATTTAGATATGGTATGTAAAATTTATTAAAAGTAAATAGTTTTAAATTACACTTTAGTAATGGTTAAACTAATTACTTGATTATTTTAAATTTTTGTAGGAATTATTCTTTAATAGAAAGCCTTATTCAGAAGCACAAATTGATGAGGTTCGTGAGATTTGGTCTAAATATTTTACCGAAGAATGCATATAAATTTTTGAACTATGAATTGTTGGTACTTATTATCTAGTTTAGCTTATTACATAAGTGTTGAAGTAGTGTAGTTTTTTTTTTTGAAAGTCAAGTAGTGTAGTTTAAATGTGTTGAAAACTTTGAAGTGTTGGCAATTATGTGTATTGAAAACTTTGAAGTGTTGTGAATTGAATGTGAAAACTTTGAAGTGTTTGGCAATTATGTATTGGAGTTAAACTTTAGTAGGGCTAAAGTGTTGGCGTAATGATGTATTGATCTTTATTAGTTGAAAGCGTTGAAGTTGTATGTAGTGGTTGTGAGTGCATGTTGTGGATGAACATAATATATTTTCTGTACAGGAAAAAAAACTGGAATTATAAATAAATTATTATTAAATTAAAAAAAAAGTGCAACAATTCGCGTCCCAAGTTCTTCAACTTTGGACGCGAATAATCATTTTAATCAATAGAAAATGATTAATCGCGTCCAAAGTCGAAGAACTTTGGACGCGACTAATAGACTTTGCGCGTCCGGAGTTGACCAACTTCGGACGCGCAAAGTCAGTGGAATGGGATTAATCGCGTCCGGAGTTGACCAACTTCGGACGCGATTAATCGTTTTTCGCGTCCGAAGTAGCTTCGGACGCTGATTGTATATACAATCAGCGTCCCCGCCAGCTGCGTCCCAGCTACTTCGGACGCGAATGAGCCTCAACTTTGGACGCGAATGACTGTTTTTGTACTAGTGTAAATCAATTATTTTTAAAACTCTAGTCATTTCATCTTCTTTCTCATTTTATAGGTCATCATAAATCACAATCAATATACATACATTGCATTTATCATATCCTAGCTGTATTCCCAAACTAGAAATTCTATCATATCCGGCCACCAAAAAAGAAGTTTATCTGTCATGAATTCAATTCTTGCTGACAGTATCTCGGTTGAGATCATCACACAGATTTTTTCTAGTGCAGTTTATGATTTTCTTTTCTTGTGTGATTTGTAAGTTATTATACAAGAGCGGGATTTATCTAGTGCACAGTACACGTACGAGTAGTGACTGCGAGTTTGTCTTATCACCCAATCTGCTGTTTCTGTATGTATGTTTGAAAGCGAGATGTGGAAGACTGATCCAAGACACTTTAATTTAGAGGCATGGAGTTCTTACGGGGATCCACAATTTTATTCTGTCTTTCTATTTGTCATAACTACTTTCTCAACCTACTGAAGCACAGTCAATATCGCCTCCATTTAGATTTGAATCTACAACTTCCCATTGGGAGACTAACTTGATGCTATTAGATCCGTTAGATGAAAAGAGGGAGAGAAAATATGTGAAATGTGGATAATAATAATTCGAAAATTGAATCTATAATATGGGTATAATTAAAACACTATCTAATTATTATTTTTAAATTATTTTTAGTAAATAATGGATAAAAATAAGTATATTATTTAATTTATGGATGGATTTGAGAGGTGTAAATGATATCATTTAAACTTAAAAAATAATAATAATCTCGCAATGACGTATTTGGATAGTTTGAGCGCAGACAGGCAAAACAGCCGACTTTAGCTGACTTTTGAGACAGTTAGTGCGGTGAAATTGACAAAAAGTTGAATTAGTTTGGCTTGAATTAGTTGAATTAAGTGTTAATCCAACGTGTGCTTTGCATTGTAGCAAAGCCAAAGAACTATTTGTTATATATACTATGTGGACATTTTTCATGATGAAAAATAACCCATTATTGTTTGCAATATCAAGAAGTAAAAGTGAATGAGTAGAATTTGAGAATACAGTGCATGTAGTAGAACTCTTTATTATAGGTTTGGTCGGGTTCTAACCCATGCGTCAAGCAAAGAATATCTCTCCTATGCTCGCACGAGCTAAGCTCACTGGTTCAGTAGATAGTATTAGGGAGAAGAGACCAAGATTCGAACCTTAGCAGCAGCAGTGTGGAGATTATGCCCAAAGTTGACAAATCCTTTAAAAATTGACTAATGACTCGCTATCACAGGTCACTAGGGTTCCGGTCAATATTACGGCCAACTCTGATAATATTTCCGATAATAAAGTGACCGAAAATTGTAGAACAGCCGCCAGTAAATCAACGGAGGGTTGCCTTCTCCCTGAGGAAGGCGACCATCTGGGTTGTCTTCTCATCGGAGAAGACGACCCAATGATCACCTTCTCAGTGAGAAGGCAGCCCACGGGTTACCTTCTCCTTCGTTCATTCGCCGGTAACTAATGTTCCAAGTGTAGTAGTCATAGAGGTGATGAGTGTAAAAGAATTCAATTGAAAATGGGCTCAATTGTAGTAGTCACGGTTACCTTCTCCTTCGTTGAACTGTTTTTTCGAACAGAAATTAACCAATCAAAATTTGTATATTTAATAATTGATAGTATATTACAAGAATTGTATTCCAAATTAAATAAAAATAAAATATCACCCTATATATGTACAATGAATAATTTATTAGGTGCATTATATTATGCAAATTATTGTAGATGTGCTTCAATATAATTCATCAAGTTGATAAACAAAGGAAATTTGATAAATATCTTTGGAGACAAATGCATGATGCGACGTGGGCGAATACAAACAACACTGATTTTCGGGAAATTTAACGTTGCTTATCCCATGATATATCTAAGATTAGATTTGTCAAATAATTGAGAAATGATTGTTCATTCTCAACTATTTTATGTCAATATTAATTAAACCACATTAATTACCAAACAGTTGGCAACCACTTTCAGACTACAAGTCAAAGCCCCTTTGAAAAGTAGCATTCATCTTCAATTTTCTATACGTACACATATACATATACATATACACATTCACAACCCGTTTAGTTCGCGAAAAATATTTGCAGATAAAATTAAAATTTTATATAAAAAAACTATCAGAAAGATTAATTATATTGTTTAGTTCGTGAAAAAGAAATTATTGAAAATATTGATTCTATTGTTTAGTTGAGTTTGGAATTGTAAGCATTGATAAATATAAAGACCAATATACAACAACAACAACAACAACAACAACAATAATAATAATAATAATAATAATAATAATAATAATAATAATAATAATAAAGTTCTAGAGGGCAAAATTGTCCTACCATATTAAATTTTCATGAAAAACAAAATACTAAGCGAGACTGCGAGAGGAGTGATTTTTTTCCTCATTCTCGAGGAAAACATTTACCCGTGGAAAGAGTTCTCCATGAACCCAATGGAGGAAAATCTAATAGTTTTAGAATTAGATAATTTGAGACACTTTTTTTTTTGGACGAGAATATGGAAGGTTTTTTTTTTTTTTTTTTTTTTTTTTTGACGAGGGAAACTCGTAGTCAGTACTTGAGGGTGTGTACTAGGTAAACCCTGCATTGTGAAGTAAACTAGCCTATGTTATCCATATCTGACTGGCTCAAATTAAGAAGGCTGAGATTTAAACTCGTGACCAGTTTATGGTTACGAGTTTGAGTTTGTATGCTTATCCATCTTGACTAGGGTATCCATAAAGAAGTTTGGTGTCTTAATTGAATTGATTGTGAGGTTTAATTGTACGTTGAACATGATTAGAATGGTATTCACATAAGTTGAAAGCCACAACATGATGCGTCATATATAATTATATTTCTCATTGTCTCTTTCATACTTAACACGTACTACTTCTTCCCCCATTTCATACTTAAAAACTGATTTGACTATAAATCAATTATTTTTAAACTCTAGTCATTTCATCTTCTTTCTCATTTTATAGGTCATCATAAATCACAATCAATATACATACATTGCATTTATCATATCCTAGCTGTATTCCCAAACTAGAAATTCTATCATATCCGGCCACCAAAAAAGAAGTTTATCTGTCATGAATTCAATTCTTGCTGACAGTATCTCGGTTGAGATCATCGCACAGGTTTTTTCTAGTGCAGTTTATGATTTACTTCTCTTGTGTGATTTGTAAGCTATTATACAAGAGCGGAGTTTATTTAGTGCACAGTACACCTACGAATAGTGACTGCGAGTTTCTCTTATCACCCAATCTGCTGTTTCTGTATGTATGTTTGAAAGCGAGATGTGGAAGACTGATCCAAGACACTTTAATTTAGAGGCATGGAGTTCTTACGGGGATTCACATTTTATTTTTTGGGTGACGAGAAAAACGCGTAATCATTGTCCAAGAATATGCACTAGGTAAATTCGTAAAATACACAGAAAATATAAATCACACTAGGAAAAATCAGTCACTAACGAGTTCGACCAAGAGGGTGTTGGCAAGAATCAAACTCATAATCTCCTGATACCAGAATCATGCTTCATTCACTCAGCCACTCTCTTTGACGCAAAAATTTACAGTATTTTGAAAGGACTACAACTTGTTTGGGCGAAAGGGTACAGGTCTTGAAACGGACTATGAACCCGTGGTTAAATATTAAATATTTAATGACTAAAGATGAGACAATGGATCCAACAAGGAATCTCCTTGATGTTTGCAAACAATTATTGGCTCAAGATTGGGAAGTGAAGATCACTCATATCTTCAAGGAGCAAAACAGCATTGCAGATATGACGGTTGTATATATCTATTTGCCTAAGTTCAGTAAGCAGAGTTCAGTCTCTTTGAAGTAAATTTTCAAACTTTAGACCTTATAAGTGTAATATTATACAAAAAGTTTTAATATAGTTTAACTTCAAAATATTTGAAATAATGTATATATCTATTTGACTAAAATGTAGATACCAATTCAAGGATCCACGAGTCACTGATTAAAATGTCATCATTTTATCATCAATTATTACATCGTACATTTATACTGTATATATGGAGTACGAAGCATCAAGTTCTGATTGGTTGATTGTACAAACGTTAGTTAGCAATGGGACTTGGGGAGCGTTTGTTAATTGGATTTTATTTCTTTAATTTTTTCCAGAAAATTGGAAAAGAAAAAAATATCTTTTATAATTTTAAATAGTTTTGTAGCTTGGTGGGTATTGTTTATAGATAGATAAAAATTTGTGTGAATTCCTTATGATCCTAAAGAAATAAAGAAAGATTCCAACTGTCTAATACCAACGTGAAACTGTCAGCTCACCAACCAACTTTGCCAGAGGAGATGGAGAAAGACTTCAATTCCCACTGTTCTCTACTGTTCACCTCATATCATCTATATACGTGTACTCAAATCATTGATGCGAGCTAGCTAGCTTAG